GAAGCGGTGCGGGGGGGGCGTATTGTGGAACCTGGCCTTGGGGCGGCAGGTGGAGTAAATCCGGCCCTGCATCTAGCCAAACGCTGGGCAGAAGTTTTATACATCAACCCCATAGTGTTTTAGGGCCTCTTTAAATTATGAGTTGTCATAATGCCCTAACACCATGTATTTTCATGTGTTAAGGAGCACTGCGTAAAGAAGCTTATTTATTCTGAATGGGCTGGCAGCACAAAAAAAACGTACCTCATCCTTTTTAAAAATATATATATATTGTATGTACATGGTATGTGTGGCACACTGTAGTGGCCACTTCTGTGAGAGTGCGATGGGGCACTATTTAAAATGAGTGCAGTGCGTGGTACCTTACCATGTGTTGTAATTTGCAGTCAAAACGCATCCCTTGCCATGTGTTACCATAACACACCAATCTGATTAGGCTCACAATGGTTATTTTATTTCTGCTCTCTAACATTCATATACAATTTTCCCACTTTCATACTTGTATTTATTTTGCTAATGACACAATGTGGCATTAGGTGACCAGACCTTCAGACCTGATGATCAAAGCATTCTTCTATGTGAGAATGAGATCCTTTGTGAAACCTGAGAACAGAATGGAATTCAGCTTTGCTAAGTAATCAAAGATCAGTGGCTACTTCAGACTGGGTGTATATTATTACCATCTCAGCAAGTGTTGGGTAACATGGCTACAAGTGCACTGTCATCTCCTCCACCATGCCTTATTGCTTTCTCTTTATTCAAAATTGAATTGTTTTCCATGTTTCCCTTTTTCCCCTCGAATATGCATGTTTATTTACAGGGTGGACATGATAAAAGAGAAACCATAGTGTATCAGGGACGTGCGGTCAGGGGAGACAGGTGAGGCAGAGCCTCACCTAGTATTATGCAGGAAAAAGCTGTCAGCTTCAAGTCTGAAGCTGACAGCTTTTTCTCCATTCAATTTGGCTTGTTACAGGTTACACAGGAGGGAAAGCCTCCCCGCTCTGTAACCTGTCATGGACGGAGTGCTGCCTGTTAATTACAGGCGGCGCTGCATCCGGCTTTTGACAGGTAGTTAGGTTACACAGCATCAGGCTTCCCCACTGCTTATGTAACCTAACATGGTGAGGCAAGAGCTGTCACAGCCTCTACTCTGTGTTAGAGGTGTGAGCTCTGTGGATGGCTTAGACCAATGGCAAAGCGCCATCAAAAACAAAAACAGTGAGGACATCGATCTCGATGCCTCACCAGTGACGAGCAAGTGAGGGACAGGGAGGCTCCTCCCTGTCTCCTCCCTTCCTCCTTCCCACACAGCTTGGTTACCGAGCTGAGGGACGGAGCTTCAGCGGGATGTGGGGGAGCTTCGGCAGAACGGGGGCAGAGTTTTGGCGGGACAGGGGTGGAGCTTCGGTGGGCTGGGGGATGCCTCACCCATCACAGAAGGCACGGCACGTCACTGTAGTGTATATTGCATGAAAACACATAGGGGGGATTATATCAAAACTGGGACAGAATCTGGAGTTGATGTCTGTAGTAACCAATCAGCTTCTCTCTTAAGTTTGTTCAGTTAAGCATTGAAAATTAAAGATAGAAGCTGATTGGTTACAATGGACATCTTCTCCAGATTCCATCTGCTCCAGCTTGATAAATTCCACTCATAATTTCATGACTATTGTATTCTATAGCTGGCCATGCACCAGTAGACTTTCAGTCGTTCGTTCAATGTTCTGATGGTCAATGGGGTCAAAGGGACAATCGATTTTGACCACAGTGATGGAAAAATCAAATGAACAGGATGGAATATTTTTCTTGAATGAACAAAATTCGAACACTTAATGTGGTTTTCATTTGAGAAACTCCATTCATTTCCAAAATCAAATGTTAAAACCAAACGCAATTTCAAACAACATTATGAAATGTTCTGAGGAGATTCTTTTCCATGAATGTTTCTACAAAACCTATCAATGTATAGTCAGCTTGACCACTGTCAGAATACTCCAACATGAACTGCAGCTGCTTGGCCAACAACTTTCAGAATTCAACAACAGTTGATTGAGTAATCCACGTTTGTGGGTTCGCACCCCATGTCATCACTGCACAGATATGGCCTGATATAAAAGCTGTTTTTTTCCAACCAGTATACAGTTGTTTCCGGCTTCTTGGCCATTGTCATTGTATTTTTCGCTACTTTAACCACTTGAAGACCAGGGTGTTTCACCCCCTTCCTGGCCAGGCCATTTTTCAGTATTCAGCGCTGTTGTACTTTGACTGACATTTATTCCGTCATGCAACGCCATACCAAAATTAATTTTATACCCTTTTTTGGGGACAGATAGAGCTTTCTTTTGGTGGCATTTAATCACCACTGGGGTTTTTATTTTTTACTATATAAAGGAAAAATTGCCGAAATTTAAAAAAAAAAACAGTTTTCCCTATGTTAAGCAATGAAAAATTGCACATAAATTATCTTTCACCTTGCTGCAACTTTTAGCTGCAAAATTAGACAAAGTCAGTTGGCTTAATAGTTGCAACTATATATATATACTAGGGATGCACCGATACTGGTATTTTGATACCGAGTACGAGTACCAATATATTTTTTTTCGGTACTCGCTGATACCAATTACCGAGTACTGGAAGTCCCATTCAGGAAGCCGGGTGGCGAGTCTTTACACATATTAACAAGAAAGCCGTCCCATGCTTCTCGTCACCATGTGACGAGAAAGCATGGAGCCAGCTTGCGGGCCAATCATGGAAGCCTGCTTCCTGATTGGCCGGGAGGCCGGCTACATGCTCCCTCGTCATGATATGACGAGGGAGGATGAAGCTGGCTTCCCGGCCAATCAGGAAGCAGGCTTCCATGATTGGCCCGCAAGCTGGCTCCATGCTTTCTCGTCACATGGTGACCACCACTTGGTCATCATTCCAGCCTACTTATTGGATAGTGAAGGAGCAGCAGCAGGCTGATGAAAACATCAATGTGCTCTCTTTTAAGCTCCCAGTGCCAGAAAACTATTTTGTTTGTGGTTCAAAGTAAAGAAGCAGAAATAAAGCATTTTTTTCTCCACACAAATAAATAATTGCATTATGCGTATATTGTTTAATAGTTGCCAAGAGACAAGTGAGAACAATGGTTGAATATCCACTTCTTAGAATAATATCCTATCGAGTCTGGGCCGAGGGACAACAATTTCATGAACAAGGTATACATTTCTATCGGAAGGGTTTTGTCTTCTTTCCTGAGTTGACCCATACATGCCCTTTGGTTCTGAAGTTGCATTTGTCTCCTTTTTTTTTGGGAAGGTAGAACACAAATCTAAGATACCAGACTGGCTTAGGCTTGGTGGAGGCTGAAAGTGTTTTGCTCTCCTTTTCTTTTCAGCCTGATGGTTAAGGGGCTTAACAAGCAAGTTTACTAAGTCTCTCTTGAACATTTTCCAGTCGTTCTGTTGTAGGAAGAATTTGCACAGAATGTCGTCACTGCAGAGAATAGAGGTACAGTAATCCTTTATTAACCACTTCCAAGCCAGATTCTTATAAATAGATGTTTCAGTGTCAAAATTAGGCTGGATACATTGTTAGCTGGTACAAAGATAGAATTACATGAACTGACTATAAAGGGGTTAATTTAGATGGGTGAATACAGATGCACACAGCGTATAGTTTTGTGCACATCCAGGGCCGGATTTACTCCCCCTGCCGCCCCAAGGCCAGGTTCCACAATACGATACACATCTCTATGCAGCACTGCAAATGTATGTGCCCATTCAGACAGCTGCACCTGGCAGCATAAGGTTGCTCTGCATTCAGCAGCATATAAAAACAAAACGGCACAGAGCCGCATCTGGGGCCATACTTTGCTCCGTATTTAACACCATACAACGAACATGGAACCTACTAGCCAATGCTGCTGCTGCTGCAAAGTGAATTGCCTATATGTCTTTAGTAAATCAGCCCCAATGAGTTGCACGCTGTCACCGGTAATAGCCGGCAGTTTTCCAGTGCTGATTGCTGGACAACCAAAGTGCAGACAACAGGAAAAAAACAGTACTTTGCATTTATCAAGGTACATGTGTTATATGGTTGTACAATGTTCATTAAAAAGGAGAAAAGGAGGTGAGTGATTTTCACTCGGCCTCATAATCTGAGGCGACCTGTGACAATGAAACTGTCACAGGTCGGCTCAGTAGATCGGGAAGTGAGCGAACACATACCGTCGCTCGCTCACTTCTCGATCTATCCCTGCAGAGAGCCGTGACTGTCACTCACGGCTCTCTGCAGGGATTCCCCCCTCCTCTGTCCGATCCTCCAGCGCTGACTGGCGAAATGGACGTGGGAGGGGACGGGCACAGCTGGCTCTGCCTCTGGATAGGCAGAGCCAGCTGTGAATCCCGCAGCTGGGTGGATCCAGACAGTATTTTGGGGATCCGTCCCGGCTGCGGCGTCTCAGTATACCCCGAGCTGCAGTTTGGGGTATACTGAGCTTAGGGTGACGGGAGGACGCTAGTTTATGTTCTCCCGTGACCCTTAGGAGAACTATGGGGAAAAGCCCTGTTCCCATAGCTCTCCTTTAATGTTGATTAATTCTAGAGTGAACTAAACTTTTATGTATAAAAGGCACAATGTATTAAGTATCCTTGTTACAATTTCCCCTACCTCGGGTAGGTCTTCTGATATTTTTGAAGTTTTTCTATTGTTTCAGGATCACAGAATTCATTAAATGTTTTCATTTTCAGAAGAATGATTTTACATCCTTTACTGACCAACATCAGACTGCGCTCATCTTTCTGGTCATCATCGTGGAGGCTCTGAAACTACACAGGATTCAATGCAGCAAAGTTGTGATACATTTCAATTCTGCCATGAGATCACACAGACAGGCCTTGATCATGTTCTGTAATATGCTGCTGATAGTACTAGTAGTGGAGAAGATTGGTAAAGTACACTGTGCTAAAAAGCAATACTTTTAGTACCACTGCTGACCTCATTCTGAAAATGCTGGATGTCTGGCTGTCCCACTGATCCCCCTCACTTTAGTACTTTATAAGTTACTGACTTATAACAATCCCGCAGTCCAAGTGAAATCTAAACTTACCCCGTTAAAGGAGAACTATGGGGTAAGTGTTTTCCCCATAGTTTTCCTCGGGAGGACATAAACTAGCTACAGCTCCCGGTATACTGAAACCGCCACAGCCAGGGCGGATCCCGACATTACTGTCGAGATCCAACCAGCTGCTTGATTGAGAGCTGCCTCTGCCTATCTAGAGGCAGAGCCAGCTGTACCCGCCCCCTCCCCCGTTCAATCCTCCAGTCAGCGCTGGACGATTGGAGCTGGGAGGGTGGAATCCCTGCAGGGAGCCGTGAGTGACAGTCACGGCTCTCTGCAGGGACAGGATCGAGAAGTGAGCCAGCGATGGTATGTGTTTACTCACTTCCCGATCTATTGAGCCGACCTGTGAAAGTTTCATTGTCACAGGTCGGCTCGAACTATGAGGCTAAGTGAAAATCACTCATCTCATAGTTCTTTCATTTTTCCAGGTCAATGTCTCGGAAAGTGTTAAAGTTAGAGGATCAGCAGGGCACCTTGTAACTAGGATTTTCAGAAGAAGGTCAACAATGCACAGTATTGCAGTGTGCAATGATACCTTTCTTATTGGACTAACAAAACATTAATCATATCATAACAGATAAAGGTAGAAGCTGCAAAACGTTTTCTAGGAACCTTTGCAATGCAAACAGTCTGGAAGAGTATTAGATTACATTCAGATACAGACTAATGTTAGCCTATAGATTACATTAAATTATAATTAGATATGCTCTACTTTATAGATATTGTTACCAGGCCTATGTACCTGTGGGGCCCAGAAGGCTTTCTGTCACTTATCAATCTGTCCAGAAATACCAGGGGAGAATTTTATCAAAACTGGAGCAGATAGATTCTTGAGCAGTTGCCCATGGCAACCAATCAGCATATCTTTTCAGTTTGCTCAGTTAAGATTTGAAAATGAAAGAGAGAAGCTGATTGGTTGCCATACACCACTGCTCCAGATTTTGTCTGTTTCAGTTTTGATAAACTCCCCTCCTTGTATATAAATGGTATAACTGTTGCTGCAGCTGGTGTTGATTTTGCTGGCTGTTGAAGATAATATGATGGCATTATAGCCAAAGCTAGTTTTGGTCATTTTCCTATTTACTTTGAATACCCAATCAAAGAGATGATTTTTCTCATGACTGGATAGTTGAGGTGAATAGTCACACAATTTTTTGAGTGACAATTCTCAAATCCTTTAGTAAATAAGCCCAAATGCCTCTGTATAAACCAAAGCTGTCTTATTTCTAGTCTGCCTCGTCTAATTCACTTTACATCACTATATGCCACATTAGAAATTATGCATAATACTGCTTCACAAAAATGACTCACCAAGAAATCTCTTTCATACAATGAGTCAATCTGCAGAAGAGCCGCTGCATCCGGATTGTGCCGTGTTTTTAATGTACAGATTTCTTCAGTGTTCTGAAGTCTACATTAATGAGAAATGCCGGATGTTCTGATCGTATTTATAAATAATTCATTATTACAGTTTATTAACAGATAATTCTAGAAGGCGGTTTTTGTTTGATCGAACAATTAAAGTGACACTAAACTCAGGAGTTAAAGTAGAATTAGAGTCTTTTGGCATATAACTATTGCTAGTAAGCAGTAGAGATAGGCCCCAACATTCAAAAAAAAAAGTTGGCAAATACCAACAAACTTACCTGTGTCAGCGCCGCTCCCACTGCACAGGTCCCGGCTCCCGAACGCTGTGAAGGAGGAAGTGTGGGCGGGCGCATGTGCAGTCCAGAGCATCGGCCAGGAGAGGAGGAGAGCGGCACAGAAGCTGAATGGACGCAACCGGGAGCGTGCACGTCGGACGGACACCATGGGACCCAAGCAGTCTGCGGTGGATCAGAGACATTCTCTGCATTAAGGTAAAAAAACGCAAAGTACCTTTTTGTGTCCCTGTCCCCTCCACACTTATCTGTGTCACTACTGTCACCACCGCCGGTCCCGAAGTGATCCTCTGCTCCCCGAACTTCCTGGTTTCCAGGAGGATACTGAGGGCAGGGGAGCCATAGGCTATGGGCGCACACAGCTCCTTGCGAGCACGGTCAAGAATGAGCACACACGGGTGCCCCCACAGCAGCAGTTTAGCTGATAAAGGCACCGGTGCAGGGGCGATGCGTGGACCCACTAGAAATGAGGAAATGAACATTTTTTAAAAATAACTAAGGTTTTAACAAGTGTGGGCCTCCTATATATAAAAAGTGTAAAACAAAATCACCCGTAGGGGATTTTTTTTTAGATAATATAGATAATAGTTAGATATACTCAACTCTCCCCTGGCTTCCACCCATGGCGCCTAAGTGAGGATGATGTCATCCCCTTTTAGCATATTCTGGGGAATTTAGAGTGGTTTAAATCTCACTGAGGAGACACTGCCAGTACTGTGCTGCATCATCTTCTGGTTCAGCATCCCCTGGGATCCCGTCAGTAGGAGTATTATATCACAGTCTGCACTATGGAAGCCAGAGGAAAGGTGAGTAAAATGTCTAACTTTTTTCCTCCTACAGGGGGTTTTGTACACAGTTTCAGTAAGAGAAGAGGGGAGGAGACACATTTACAATGCAGACCTTGTATGCAGTACAAGATCCACTTTAAAGAAAGTTAATTGATTTGTGATGATGGCATGGTATTTTTTTATGTATTATTTTCTTTAGGTGGGATCATTTCATTTTCACATAGCAGTAGTCATCTTGTTCAACTTGTATAGTGCTTCCTTGCTTAAAGATTATCCGTTACAACGCCTCAGATTTAGCACATATATGTGAACAGGTCTGTTATGATAAACCATGTCAACAAGAGAACATCCACCTTTCACCATGGCTATTGGTGCACTTTCTTTAGTCCACAGGAAACTATCCCTACCATGATAGAGCCAGTTGGTGGTGTTTGCTTCCCTGGCCTCCCTTGTTCATAAATGACTAGTTGAGGATCACTGCTCCTTACCTCGTTTCAGAACAGCACAGCATTACAGCTTCTTTCAAAGCAGACAACTTCTGTGCATGCATCTTTGAAGTGCCGCTCCAATGTGGCTGCTGAGATGATGGCTTTACACAACTTGGTTCCAGCGGCTGGTAACACTTTTCGGTTACATCTTTGGGTGGTTTCTGAATTGTGTGGCCTGTTTAAACAGATAGTGAATACAATCATTATGGCAAATAAAGCCCTTTTCAAGTGTTGTCAAATGTTCAAGCTGGCAGCTTGAATTATTGGAACCAAATATTTATTCTCATTAATTATACTTTATTACATGAGCATGCTATTTTATAATAAAATATCTTACATAAAAAGACAATCATTTTTAGATAATACCATTTAAAATCATGTGATTCAGTTGACAAGTTTGGACACAAAAACCTTGGCAGAAATTGTAATTCTGTTTACTTATATTGGTCTGATGCCAGGATTTTTACGTACGTACTGAATATGTTTCTGAATCTTCCTCTTGTCAGTCAGTGGTGTATTTTGGTTTTGTGCTGCTCTAGGCAAGACTAAACTCAGGCACCCCCTCAATCTAAATTTGTCCCAACCCATGCTGTTAAAGACATTTTTCACAACCTGTCAGTCACTGGATAAAGCGCACATGGGGGCTCAGGAGAGCCATGCCTGGTCTCAGGAGAGCTGTGCAGGCTGGGCCGCCATCAGGGGGGTATGGCCAATACACATGTAAGGGGCCCCGGGCAGCCTGGGGGGGGAGGCACGGGCTCCAATCAATGAGTTTTTGCTGTATAGATTTTGGCCATAATATAATTCCTTATAATATTCCTTACCGAGCGGCATTCGGCTCGGCACCTCTATGGTACCGAGCAGAATAGAAAAACAGTTAAAAAAAGTAGAAAGAAAAAGAAAGAAAGCGATTAGCAGAGCCGGAGGTGATATGAAAGCCGACTCTGTTGAGCTCTCATGGTACTGACAGATCAGCGTCCCCTGGTTACCAAGTAACCAGGGGACGCTGAACTCTCAGTACCATGAGAGCTCAGCAGAGTCGGCTTTCACTTGCTATCTGCAAGTTTGTTTTTTTAGTATTCTGACAGCTGCTGCCGTCAGAATAAAGAAAAAAACAGCATAGGAATGAATAGCTAGATTCCTATTGGCTATTTCAATTTGCAATATCCAATAGCAAGCTGGCTATTGCACCCGCCCTCTGCTGCTGTCAATCACTAGAAGTGGACCTGATTGAGAACTTCAGGTCCCCTCTGCTGATTGACAGCAGCAGTGGGCGCGTGCAATAGCTAATTTGCTATTGGCTATTGCAAAGTGAAATAGCCAATAGGAATCTAGCTATGCATTCCCATGCTGCTTTTTTTTTCTGACTGACGCCGGGCAAGCGGTTCCGATGTCAGAAGAAAATAAAAAAAACAGAGCAGGGAGAAAGTGTTTCTCTCCCGGGCAGCCGGGAGCCGCTAGCTTCGCCTTTTGCCTCGGCATATGCCTTCGGCTCGACTGAGCCACTCAGCCAACTTCGGGAGCTGTACGGGCTATAGTGAATAGCCCGTACAGCAGCCCTTCGGAAAGGGGTCCTGGGGCAGAAGGTAGCCGAAGGATCAGCCGAAGCTACGGCTAGATCCTTCGGCAGCTTTTTAAAAAAGACCCCTAAATGCCTGATGGCAACCAGAATACAAATGCAACCAATGCATTTCAAAGGTCAAAAACATCCTCCTCCATCAGGGCTAAAGAAAGCAAGACTATGGGAGGACAGCTGAAATCGGAATTATACTGAAATAGACTTGACAGCCGTTTAATTTTGCATTGTAGATGAAGATTCTTTATACAGTAATCTGACCTTATCTTAGTGCTTTATTTTCTGTTTTTATCATTTTTTATTCTTACTTCATCAAAAAATATTATGGCATAAAGTAGAAAAAGTTAACTAAAAAGGTGCCCATAGACATTAGAAGACATTCGGCTACACAAGGGAATTAACTTAAGTAGCCAGAATGGTGTTTCTGGGCCACACATGGCCCTCTCATTTCTTCTTTGTGGCCCCCAGTGGTTTAACGAGGTTCCATATGTTTCCACTTGATGGATTTACAATTCCTTACATACATCTGCAGCTCACTGCTTCAGCAAATGTTTTATGGCCTCTTGCCATAAGTGCCAAGATGCTATAATCCTATGTCTGGAATTAAGTCAGTTTGGCAATCCGTATGACATATGTGTTCCCTTGAAGATTTATGTCACTTAATTTGGAACATTTTTTTGATATACCTGATCCAAAGTATCAGGTATATACTGATATACCTGATCCAAAGTATATGGGGCACCCACAGATCTAGAGGAATTGAGACTGGACCAGTTGGACAACCTTAATAATTGCTATTGTTTCTCCATGAAAACCCAGCTGCAGTAAACCTCCTCCACCATGTTCAATGGGGATGCACCATTTCTTGGTCAGGGAAGCACTGCCTGGTTAGATGATGCCTACTTGTCCAACTGACCTCTACTCTTCTCATAATAGACATAGAAGAAGATTTATAACAAATATAGCACATACTCAGCTTCTCTGGAAGGGATGAATGCTGAGAAGATAGAGAAGCACGTAGCCACCTATGATAAGATGGGCATTTAATCAGTTTCACAAGTCGTAATACTTCACAGGTGCCCTGGGAAAGAAAGCACATTGTAAAAAACAGGCAATCATTTTTAGTAAACTTCAAATCTCATGAAATATACATTGCAGAAGGTTCTTATATCTTCTGAACCCGGAAGCATGATCTGCCATCTTCACATAAACTCTTTTTCTGAAGGATTTTTTTCTTTTTTTGCTTTTTGGTAAAGAAGATTACTGTTTATGGTAATGGTATTTACAAAAGCTTCTTGGGGGCAAGGAATCAGCAGCAATTCTGGAAAGTATTGTGTTTGACTATGAGTAGCCGCAGTGCAGAGATCTCACGCAGCAAAACCATAAGGTATACAAGTAACATGTTACAAAAAAAAAGGGTTGTTTGGAACAGATAGAAGACCTGCCTGAAATAAATAAGTGACTAGTGATCAACAGAGCACCAACAAGGGGGTAGTGTGGTATCTGACAGCTTCTACAGGGAGTACAGAGTATAGACAATGCAAGAAAATAACCAAGATATGAAATAGTTAAAGGAGACCTCTAGGCAACAAAGCTAAATACAAGGTAGTACAAGGTTACTATTTTACTGGCCAAATGATTAGTAATTCTGTTCTGGTTGGCATGTGATACAAAGTGCCTGCCAGAAAACACAGCCAGATTCCCATGCTGTGCTGCAGCATAAGTTCTAATCACTGGACAAAACACACCGTATAATGCTGATCGGACAATGAAGGAGAAGCAGTGGACTGATGAGTTCATTCCTCTGCTCACTGTGCTCTCCTCCTGTCAGATTGTTCACAATAAGCACATATGCACTACAGCAGAATCTGAATTAGAGTGAAAATCCTTCTCCTCGTGTACTTAAAGTGTATCTAAACCCAAGAGCAAGACTCCATTGGTTTTCTTTTTTTAGTTTTAGTTTTTTCCTTTATTTTCACTTGGTGATCCAGTAAGTCTGTTATGTTTCAACTTCCTTTAGCAGGCCAAGCTGTCCAACAAAAATGGCAGATAGAGTGTTGAAACCAATCATTAAAGAAGAAATTGGGGCAAAATGTTTATTAACCCCCACACTGCAAGGGTCAACTGCTTGTTTTTGTCTAGGTGCTAACAACAAAAAAAAGTTATACTCATTAGAACTGTTGAGCCGGCTCCCTGCTTCTCCAGTCTCTGAAACCTGTCTCCTCCTACGCTGCAGCATTGAAATATTCCTCAGTGTCCTCACGTCTATACACAGTGTATAGAACATGATGATTTACAGCACCTTAGAACGCTGCAGAAGAGGGGAAGAGAGGCTGGAAGGACCGGTCTAAGAGCAAGTCTGCTTGGAGCATCGGGTGAGTATAACTTCTCTTTTTTTTAGCACTTAGACAAAAACGAGCAGTTAACCCTTGCTGTGCAGGGGTAGCCCCACTGCAAGGGTTTATAACGGTTTTGCCCGAGGTTCTTTTTTAACACCGACAGGTGTGCTTTTAATGGTTACTTTTTATTTGTTTTTGTAAAATCCTTATCCTAAAAAAGACTGTTGCTGAAACTGCATTGAAATGTTCAGATTTAATTTGTCAGTCAAGTCAATCTAAATCTGCGAGTGCATATAACTCTACCCTCCCCAAAGGTTGTCAATGCTGCTGTCCAAATGTGGCGCCATGACTCCTCAATAGAGTGGAGCCACCCTAAGACAGGAAGTGTATTACATGCTGGATCATCAGGTGAAAATAAAGGTAAAAGGCATTAAAAAAAAACAAATGCAGCCACCACATTAAAGGATTGGTAAGCTGCAATATACACTGAGTGGCCAGATTATTATGACCACCTGACGTTTGTAGGCAAATTAGCTATAATTTTGCGCTGAAGTTGCTAGAGGGCCAGACCATTATAAATAGGGATTCAGGTTGTTTACCACGACAGTAGAAGTGATTTTTTTCTGAAGACACGGGTAAACAACGCGATTTAACAGCCTTTGAACGTGGGGTCATTGTTGGTGCTCGGAGCCATGGAGCGATTATCCGCAAGACAGCAGAATTCGTTAAATGTTCAAGAGCAGCTGTTTAAAATGTTTAAAGATTGGACTGTCAGTCGAAAATCTGGGTCTGAACGTGCGAATTGTGGCCGCCAGCGTCAATGTTAGGGCAGAACGGAGAGTGGCAAGACCGGTACAAGACAACAGAAGGGCAACAGTGCAGTGTCAGATTCCTCGCATCACCTTTCAACATGTCGTGGAGTCACGAGGTGGCCCAACAAAGTCATCTCGTGGAGTTATCTCGTGGCCCAACGAAGTACTGATGGGGTGGTCATAATAATCTGGCCACTCAGTGTATTACATATTCAGGTTTAGATACGCTTTCAAATACAATTTTTAAGAATACATAAATGCATTTTCTGATTTTATATCTTTTTGAAGTTAACTTGATTGAAAGACAGTTAAGAAAAACATATTTTAAGGCTGGATTTCCAAGTGTGCCCGAATGGAATTAATGTAAAACACTGACTGAATGCCCAAAGCGTTTAACAAGAATTTTATAGACATTTGGTGCAGCAATTTGCTAGTATTCATCAAGCATTCACCAAAGTTCATCAGTTGCCAGCTAAAAGACCTGTTGCTTTACAACAATCCCCTACTAACGAAATGTAAGGGGATATATTAGATAAAGCAATAGATTGATCCTACTGGATCTCCAAATGCCCTTCAGCTACTAGATAAATACCACTATGTTGGTTGAGAAGCAGCTACATAGACTTCTATTGTGTCCTGACATCCTACCAGCAGTCTGCTGAATATAGGAAACGGTTTTTAATTGCAGATAAAGAAATCAGGCAGTTAAAAAAAAAAAATCTCAACTAATAGTTTGTTTCCTCAGAGACAAGCTCGTCTGACTAATCAGATCACATCTGCTTCTCCATTCTCCTAAACAGGCTTATGTAACTATCATGTACCTGTTTGGAGGAGAAACTGTTATTAAACAGATGACAAGGGTAGAACATAGCTCTGGTTACCTTTTGCAAAATCAGGACTGATAATGGCTAAACATAATATTAAATATTAATATTGTTTAAAAAGTAAAAACTGTGAGACGATAAAAGAAAATAGTTTATGTTGATTGAAATATCTTAGTAAGGCCCCTTTCACACGGGCTGATCCGTGATCACAGTAGTATAGAGGGGATATCACTGCTGTGACATCTATGTCTGTACAGTTTTTTCCTCCACTGCAATTACCAGACCCCATGTCTGTCTATGAGGAATCGGATGCAAACGGACTTGTGTCCGTTTACATCAGATTACCCCTGATCCAGCACAATCCGGTTCAGCAAAACAGAACACTGTTCCATTTGTTTACTGGGGATGCCCGTCCATTTACACATGGCTGCCCATAGACTTACATTGGGCATCCAATCGATTCCGCTTGAAAAACTGACGGAAGCAGAAGGAAGCAGTCCCGATCGGACCGGCCATGTTAAAGGGGCATTATAAAGGATTAGATAAGAGAATGTTGGCTTTTTATTTCAAAGATATACTGTATCTGACTTACCCTTGGTCTGGGGTCAGGTGTTACACATCCACCCTTGAATCATTAACTTACATTGAGAGGGAGGGTGGATATGAACTGGTTGCTCGCTATGTGGATAGCCATAGAGCTCTAACTCGTAATGTTATAGGACCTTGCTTTGCTATGCACCATCCAGGGCAGATGGTGATCAAAAGTAGGATAACACTCACCAGAACCACCACAGGGGTAAGTTAGTTATTTCACAAAGAACATTTTTAGATAAATGTAAATGTATCAAATGCGATGAATTGGCCTATACTTACCTCAGTAATAAATGCAATGCTTTTACTTTCCCTGGTATCCTGTATAATCAGTTGGCCATAGCGAAATTCTCCAGCTTGGCAGTTTTCTGCAATGTTTTTAATGTGCTCAGGAGGCCAGTGAGAAAAGATGTCCAGAGATCTGGGTACATTAGACAAGAAAAACATGGTGTAATTATCCCCTTTTTAGAGAAAAGCAGAACTACTTAAAGAAGCAGTGGGGCATTTAGCTTTGTACAGCCACGCAGCACTTTAGCTTTGCCAGCTTTTATTGGCAAGGTTGTCCATTCTGCTAGCTAAACCAATATCTATGGGAATGTATCATATAAGTTCACTGGAAAGCAGATATTCATTAGTGTTAGTACTGTGTCACAAATAAAGCTCTAATAAAACACCCTTCCCAAAAGTTCTTATTCTCAAAGCAGCTGAAAGTTAGAGTAACAGACAGGCTGACAGACAGGCTGGCTGTAGAGTAAACTTGTCACAAGCATGGAAAACTCAAACTGGGCATATGAAGAAAACAATGCTCAAGAAGTCACCTTTAGTAAAACTGCTTACAAATACATGTATTATATCCAAGGATCTGTAGAGTAAGTTACATGCACATCTTGCATTTGTCTGCAAAAGTCAGCCTTGGCCCCATCCTATTTAAGGCTCAGTAATGATACCTAAATGTGCTGGGTGGCTTCATTGACCAACAGACAGGCTTGGGAAGTGGTAGGGGGTGGGGACAAGTGAAATATACATGTAGCTTCAGCTATCTATACTGTATATTCTGTTATTTATCCTTAGATTTTTTTCCTGGTATGGCATCCGGATTTTAATGTGAAGCCATCATAACAGAAACCTATACTGAGAAAAATACAGGGGCTGCCATTGCTGACCCTTTTAAAAGATACTAGGTTTCTGGCTGTTTCTGTCTTCAGTGCTTCACTGCTGAGAATCATAGTTAACTCATGACATGTAATTAGAAAAATTTCCATCCCCTGCCCTCCTGCCACCGTATAAACTACTAGACCACTTTTTAACTTTTGGAAGGGCAAGGTCCCAGCTTTATTGACTTTAACATTATAAAACACAATTCTTTTTTCCGTTTGACATGAAATCATGCCAGACTCCCAGTCACAGAAAAACTGTGGGCACCCAAACAACATAACTGTATAACATAACATGGATCACCTGTCTTCACTATCAGTTGTAGACAGGCATCCAGCCAGCAAGAAATTTTAGCAAAGGTTAAAGGAGAACTATGAGGTGAGTGCTTTTCACTCACCTCATAGTTCTAGGCGACCTGTGACAAAGAGACTGTCACAGGTCGGCTCAGTAGATCGGGAGGTGAGCGAACACATACCGGGTTCGCTCGCCTCTCGATCCTGTCACGGCTCTCTGCCGTGACAGGGGGAGGGGCTGGATTCCCCTCTCCCCGCTCCGATCCACCAGCGCTGACTGGCGGAACGGACGGGGGAGGGGGCGGGTACAGCTGGCTCTGCCTCTAGATAGGCAGAGCCAGCTGTCACTCACGCAGCTGGGCGGATCCCGTCGTCTAAGTCAGGATCCGCTCCGGCTGCAGCGTCTCAGTATACCGCGAGCTGTAGCTCGCGGTATACTGAGCTCAGGGTAACGGGAGGACGCTAGTTTGTGTCCTCCCGTTACCCTAAGGAGAACTATGGGGAAAAACACTGACCCCATAGTTATCCTTTTAATGCTGTAACTGATTAAGCTGGCAAGGTCCAACAACTGCCAACGAAGCTGTGACAACTCAAAGAAAAGAGGGAGGGTGGGTGGACACGTTCAGCTCAAACACCAATCTTAAAGCACTAAGTACAGGAATACATTGGAGATTTGTAACTACTGGATCCTAGGCAAATATAGCTTGTGTGTTGTGCAGGGTACGCTATGGAGGCTTTCTTAATGGCCTAAGACAAATGTCCTTCCTCCTATGCCAGCTCAATGCTTTGGACATTAGACATCTGCAGGGCTGTTAACTAAAGGATGAAGAGTTTGGAGAAGGCAGGAGAATGGAACAATCTAGGACAACACAGCTGAACTGGAAAGTGAGATGAATTCAATATTTTTTCCAAATGAGCTATATTTCAAAGTGTGGGAAATATACTGATGGTGGCACTGGATATCCTTGCTGTGTCTGTGACATGGGTACAAGATGAAGCAAAGTTTGGGTAACATTCAGACATTCATATGAAACATCACCTGAAATAGTCAAAACGACATTGAAATTCTTTATGCAATTGTTGATCCAGTTTATTTGCAAAGAAATCTTTCTTGTCCACCACTAAAAATTCAGTTTCAGACATGCAGACCACTGTGACGTTCCTTTTCTGGCCTGTCACCATTCCAATGTCCTGAAAATTAGGAACAGCTACACTTTATTATTAAGGCCTACTGTAAAAATAGCCTTATAAAGATTAGTGACAGTTCTAAACAGCATGTCAACTTTATACAAATATAAAATCACACTTCTTTACTTATTGAGTTATAAATGTGGCATATTCACTGTAACAATTAACATTGAACTGTCACTATCTACTGATTGTTACTCAGCACTGCATTTCAGGTTTTTGCTGCGCACACCTGTATTTTGTAGTGGACTAATAAAAGAAGGCCAGAACTTTAAGCCTGATCAACAGGTTTGTCTGTTTGCTTATGCTCTGGATAGAGGTATATTTGTCCAGACTTTTCTCTAACTCCTCATGCCATGGATTATCCTTGTGTATTGTCTGGGCTGTGTTTGTACTCAAAGCTTGTCTTTGCTGATTCTGATAATTGGTACGTTACCTCTGCTATTGCTCAGCATTGCATTCGCTTGTCTAGAACCTGGACTCTGTCTACACCTGAGTTGCCCATCAGTGTGTTGACTGTAAAGGTGGCCATACACTCTACAACCATCGCAAGACTTTAGTCTTGCGATGGTTGTAAAGGGATTTAAAAAACGTACGATCTGCCTATCTTGGACAGGCAGATCGCACTCTCGATCATCGCAAGCCCGCCCTCCTGAGGGGCGGGCTTCCGATGACCGCAATGCTGAACGGGCAGTGTGCGCGTGCGCACACCGGCCCGTTCAGCATTTATCTTCCGAGCACCGTTCTAACCAGCCGAGAATCGTACGATTCCCGGCTGGTTTTCGAACATGCTGGTTCGACAGAAGACGTGCGACCGTACAGTAGAAACGGTCGCACGTCTCCGTTCACACTGCACGATTATCGTACGAAAACCCGATCGCATACGATTATCGTACGATAATCGTGCAGTGTATGGGCACCTTATCTTGGACAGGCAGATCGCACTCTCGATCATCGCAAGCCCGCCCCTCCTGAGGGGTGGGCTTCCGATGACCGCAATGCTGAACGGGCAGTGTGCGCGTGCGCACACCGGCCCGTTCAGCATTTATCTTCCGAGCACCGTTCTAACCAGCCGAGAATCGTACGATTCCCGGCTGGTTTTCGAACATGCTGGTTCGACAGAAGACGTGCGACCGTACAGTAGAAACGGTTGCACGTCTCCGTTCACACTGCTCGATTATCGTACGAAAACCCGATCGCATACGATTATCGTACGATAATCGTGCAGTGTATGGGCACCTTAATTGTCTGTTGTTTGCTCTGATCATCCGTGTGAGGACTTGCACCTGTAGTGTAAAGCTGTACGCTTTATTCTTCAATTGGGTTGGACCTATGTATTCATGGACCTTTGTGGCATTTTAACTATCTACTGCTAAACACTGAAACAAACTAATTGAAATCCACTGACTTGATAATTAGTCTTTTTTATTCATAATCTTAAATTTAATAGATCTTTATAGCTCATAGTTACATAGTATTTGAGGTTGAATAAAGACATTAGTCCATCAAGTCCAACCTATTAGGATTAGGCTCAGCTTTTATTAACCCCATCCCGATCGATAACTGAATTATTCCAGCAAAATGTTTAAGTTAGTTAAAACCGGTGACTAAATAATTCCATCATGCGGGAAAACGAGCGCTGGTCCATGGAGGGACCAACGCTCATGTTGTTAATGTTGTTGCTGGGTCCCTTGGTGTCTGAGGCAAATCCTGAACAGCAAATCAGGGGGTCCCAGCACTGTGATCACTGTGATTAACCCTTTAGTGCCCCCTTATTAAACAAAAAAGAAGTTTTAAACAGTTTTTAAAAGTTTTAAAAAGTTGAAAAATTTTTACAAAAGGAAAAAAGTTTTTTAAAAAAAGTCAAAAGGCAAAAAGTTACAAAACAAAATATGTTTAATAAAAAAAAATCATAAGAAAATATAGTGCAAGGAGGCTATTAAAGTTAGGAGACAAGCATACCACATTCTAAAATCGTTCCACGCTAAAATTGTATTTCGCTCCTTGTATTTTGTGACCTACAACTCCCAAAATAAACTGAAATCCCAGACATATGATACACCCTATAAATCAGCACTAATTATGTACACATTATTGCCAAAACTGTGAAGAATTCCTTTTATTTTTTATATTAAAGAATAAGAATGTATATATGCATATGTCACATTGAAGCCCATTTTGTCCTTTACAAAATGGTATATAATATGTGTAGGTGTAATGTATGAGGAAGATGGAAATTATGGGTAAACAAACACATAGCAAAAATGGCAAAATTGCTCCGGTCCCCAGAAGCAAAAAATATTTCTGAAGCTGTGTCACTAAGGGGTTAAACCAGCATATTTCAGGCCTCATCTGTAAAATAGCAGGTAACACTATCCCCAATCAAAATACCAAACAGTAAAGAGTCTCCACTTACAGCACAGAGTAACCTTGTGCTGTCCTGCCATACCACCCTTCATGCGATAAGCATTGTGGTTCAAAACAGAACCCAGCTGATGATACCACCCATGAGAATCACAGTTAATGTATAATCTGTGTTTTGAGTATAAAGCCCTGTGCATGTGTCACAGTTTGCTGTCTTCAGAACCAACCGGTGTCCTGTCTGCAGCTATTCATGTTGCAAATGAGACTCTGCAGGATCTCACTTAGGCCCCATACCTGTTTAGTGTTGAATCAGTTTTTATTAAGTTTCATAAAAGAAGATTCAGACAATGCACATAATGGCTCAAACATTAAATCACAGTGTTGGGATACAATATGAGGGAGGGACATACCTGTTTAGACGTTCAGGCAATACTCCTGCTGGTTCATAGCAGAAGTGCTGCTGGACACTTTCTCTGAGGTCATGTCTGTTAAACCTATTTAAAGCTGAAATCCAGATATATGTTAGTTTGCATACTAACATTGGTCCATCTTGGTCCAATGTAGGTATGGATTCCTGTTTATCTATTCTCTGAAAACACAGGGGTCGCCCGCTGGCACAGTGGCCATTCAAAGAATGCTTAGAATTTGATTGCATGAGGGATGGATCGTGATTTCACCTGCCAATTTTGTGCCCTGATCTTACCTGTTCTGAGAAAGACCTTGCCTGACAATTTTATACCACATTTTGTTTTTGCCTGCTGTAAGCTGTTGCCACTCCGAGTGTAACTGAGGGTTTACTACCTACATGGCAGCACGGAGCTGACTGTCAGTAGCATTGACCAGACTCCTGACACTTTATGCCTGCTTTGATAAGCCTTTTGATAAGTGGGCTCATGTAGCCTTTTTAAATGGATAGGAAATGCTGACCCCTGCCAGCACTGTTCTGACGTCTCCCTAACTTCCTTTGCCAGGCAACTGGAGGATTTCTCTATCATGCTCAATAATGGTATGAAGATTGCATGATGGTGTAAAGATTTAAATATTACAAGAGAAATTTGAAAGCTTAACGCGGTAAAGTCTACAAAATCATTGGTGTTGCCAGTGATTGCTTACCCCAAATTTAGCTCCTTTATGCAGCAGCTGAGGTTCTTGATCTAGAAAGGCACTGCTACCATCCTCATCATTGCAAAGGGCAACGGAGCCAGAGTAGATGAAGTAGAAGCTGCTTCCAATATGACCCTTTCTGATGATCACCCTTCTACATCCAAACCTGATAGTGAAAAGTGAATGCTAACATTTGCATTACAGATATAAATGAAAGAAAATGTCCTTTGTAATTTCTGGTTAATGTACTGCGCCATGTTAAAATTGGAAATAACAGTATAATAAAATAAAAATGGTCTTACAGGAGGCTGGTATGGTTGTAGTGATAAAACAACTGTCTAGTAAAGATTATTTTTATTGGGTAAAGGGGAAATGTGCCTACAGGCATAATAGAACACGTCCACAGGAAACATTTATAGACTTGTAGGCACCTTCACAACTCTGGCTGAGCTCCGTGACCAAACACACAAGAAGGATTTTTTTTAAATGTTTATAGAAAGAACTGTTAATAAGGCTTTCTATCTTTTACTTTAAGGACAACAGCTTGTCATCAGACATAACCTTCAGACACTGGCGGAACTACCAGGGTCGCAGCGGTCGTTTGCGACCGGGCCCTGTCGTTCCGCCTGCTGGGGGGGCCCAGAAAGGAAGAAGAGGGCCCCCCCCAGATTGTGCCGCTCCTTCCCCGCTGCTCTGCCACCCGCAGCATGTACGGGCGGCTGTGCGGCGGGGATGGAGAAGCTGACAGCCAGTAGTCGCGCAGAATGTGCTGCAGGCACCACCAGGCAGTACATTCTGCCGTGCGAGGACCCTCTCCTCTTAGCCCCGCCCCCTGGCTGCCGAGACGAGGAAGAATGTCATGCAGGAGAGGGAAGGTAAATCTGGACTGGGAAGGGGGGCCGCAGGGTGGGTCGGTGATGCTGGTGGTATTCTGCAGTGCTGGTTTTTTATTATAATGTATTGCTGGGACTTGTAGTCCTGCATAGCTGGTGGTATTCTGCATTGCTGTATAATCATTATACTGCAATGCAGAATAGCACCAACTGTGCAGGACTACAAGTCCCAGCAATGCATTATATTTTTAAGTAGAGATGCACCACTGCCAATACTGGGCATTTTCACGAGTACTCATACTCGTGAAAATGCCCCGATACTAAACGCAGATACCGGTGTTCTGTTGAGGCGTATTTTCCAACCTCAGCATCTGCTTTTGTGCACAGACAGGTATCATTGGGGGAACAGGGATTTATTTGCAAAGTATTTAGTTTAAATTGTTAATTGTGACCGTTAATAATATTCCATCCTTCATTTAATGTCATGGACAGCATATCATTAACGGCCACAATTGACAATTACAAACAAATACTTTGTAAATAAATGGCGGTTTCCTCGCTAATCCCGTCTGTACGCAAGCACAGATATTAGGTCAACGTTCTCGACAGAACACCGGCACTACATTTTTAAACTGAAGCGGCTGCCTGAGGTCCCGCGCTTGCTGGGGAGCTCGGCAGCCGTCCTGTTAACCGCACAGTGCCATGGCGGCGGGGGGTTGGGTGGGCCCTTCATAGTGTCTTGCACCGGGGCCCTGAAGGTTCTAGTTACGCCTCTGCCTTCAGACATAACTTGCAGTAGTAGTTTCTAATTTGTACACAGGTCCTTGGCAGCCTGTTTTTTAAACTGATTACTGTTTTTCTATGCTGGTCCCATCTGCTATTCCACTTCCTCTTTTTGGGTTAAGGCAATGTGTGCCAGCTCTCTGCTCAGTCTCCCCTCTTCTTTGATGGCACTATCTGTGAACACATGATTGAACTTATAAACGCTGAGCAGAACGTTACTGCTCATTCATCCGAAGACACCATTGTGTATGCATAACAAACAGCATAATGCCAGCCCTCACTACTGCTGCTCTCTATTACTGTCTTAGAGAGGCAGCAAATGTAGTAAGGGCCGACATCATGTTTATGTACATCAAGTATGAGCAGTAATGTTCCTCTCCCAGTCCCCAGGTCTTAGGACGGCCACATGGGGCAGGGGGGAAAGTCTTTGTGTGAGCTTCGATACAAACCAACACTGAGTTTATATAGGGCTTTTCAGGACTTCTGCCGGCAAGGGATCAGGGATTACAGGGAAAGTAAATATCAGTAAGGGCCTGTTCACACGACGTCTGTTTTCTGTGCTGACCTGATCCGTACGCTCCTGCACTAAAAATGCATCCCAATGTATCCCTATGTGTTTTATGGGCTACAGTTCTCAGGTGCGCAGTCCATTCAGGTTACGACAGAAAAAATACTGTATGTCACATTTTGTGCGTTCAGGAAACGGACCGGAAACGCAAAACGCGTCACAAAAGTGTCAAAAACGCAGCGCATCAGTAGCACCGCGTCTGCAGATCCGCACCTGATCAGGACCTGATATCATGTGAACAGGCCCTTAAACAGAAGATGGGCTGTCAAAGAACCTGTTACTTTGCCCTAAAGTAGTACTAATCCCTCCAACTTTTTACAGTTGATTAACTTTTACCAACAAGGGGAACATAGCTTAGTAATAGTGCATGTTCAACACTTACATTTTTTATGTATTCACTATCCCTGGCTCCAGATCGCTCCATGCTTTTTCCCTGAACTTCCTGGTAAGGAATTTCCAGGTAGCGCATGCATTAGAGACATAATGATGTTAGGGGAGCGCACTGAGGATACAGGAGGAGGGGGGTGCAGGGGAAAGCTTGATGCTCTAGGCTTTAGAGAAAGCTGTATGAGTGTACGCTCACCAGGAGCACGCATACAAGGGAGGCTCAATGGGACAATGTAAGTGGTTGAGACCACCTGACAAAAAGAAACCTGAGAAGAGGGCATTTTGTTAGAAGCAGTGCACAGCAACAACAGGCCTGGGAGAAAAAGCACACAGCAAACAAGTTAAGCGCTGAGGTCTACAGCACTATACCCTTTTTTCACTTTGTGGTTTAATATTACTTTATAGAACAACTCCAGGCAACATTTGTATTAACCCCGCACTGCGAGGGCTAAGTGCTCGTTTTCATCTAGGGAGAAAAATAAAAAAATTTTTTAGTCACCTGAACCTCAGAGTCAGCCAGCTGTCACAGCGATCCCTCCTGCCTGTCTCCTGCTATGCTGCAATGATGGCATGTCCCTCGGCATCCTCATGTCCTATACACAGTGTATAGAACAAGATAACTCAGGGACCTTAGACCGCTGCAGTGGAGAGAGAGCGAGGTGGAAGGGACCAATCTAGGAACAAGCTGGCTCAGAGGATTGGGTGCGTATAACTTTTTTATTTTCCACCCTAGACAAAATGACCCACTGCAAGGGTTAATAAAAATGTTGTCCAGAGTTCTTCTTTAATGGGCGAAGCGATGGTACACTGTAAGAAACCTGTCGTAAGTGATTTTGCTACTAGGCCTTTTTGTTTATTACATTTGTTTTTATATTTTACAGATAATGGTGAAAAATAATGATAAAAACAGGGAAAAACAACACCGAAGAAACAAAAGAGGTGATGCCTGTCAGAAATGCTGACAGCCATCAACAGCAATAATGCGATTATTCTTTGTGTACCCCAAAAGGTGAATGTTCACAAAGGGACTTAAAGGAGAACTATGGGGTTAGAACTTTTCCCCATAATTCTCCTAAGGGTAACGGGAGGACACAAACTAGCGTCCTCCCATCACCCAAAGCTCAGTATACCGCGAGCTGCAGATCGCGGTATACTGAGACGCCGCAGCTGAAGCGGATCCCGACAATTATGTCTGGATCCACCCAGCTGCGTGAGTGACAGCTGGCTCTGCATATCTAGAGGCAGAGCCAGCTGTACCAGCCCCCTCCCCTGTTCGTTCCGCCAGTCAGCGCTGGAGAATCGGAGCGGGGAGGGGCGAATCCAGTCCCTCCCCTGTCACGGCTCTCTGCAGTGAAAGGATCGAGTAGTGAGCGAGCACCGGTATGTGTTCACTCACTTCCCGATCTACTGATCCGACCTGTGACAGTTTCATTGTCACAGGTCGGCTCAGATTATCAGGGTGAGTGAAAATCACTCGCCTCATAATTCTCCTTTAATACTCATTAAAAATAAGTAATGAATGGAGAGCAATGTAAAGTTGAACAGGACCTGAAAAACGAGCACCTCTTGTGTGTGCAGGTACAGAGCCCCCTTGTAACCAGGAAAAAACCGGGATCAAAGGAATGAGGGGAATATAGAAGGGTATTTGCTGCTTTTCCCTGTTCATTTTCTACATGTATGTCTGTCTATAATGTGTACAGACAAATGTTGTCTCTACAGATTCCAGGTATCCATGTTGTACTGTAACATTGGATGAATCCAGGTGCATCTGATAGGATGCAGCCACTGTTCGACCGATAATATTGCACTCAGCTCAGTCAATTTTTAAATTAACTTTTGTTGATCCAAATGGTGCTGACAAGGCCACTCATGGTTCGAATTGCTGATTCAGCAGGAATAAACCGAATTTTGAGTCGTCTATGGCCAGCTTTAGACTTGCATTGTGAAAAAGAGTAGTAAGGCCCAACTCTTGTTTAGCTCAGCAAAGCAGGAAGCAGGGCCTGCATATGTACTGAGTAAATATGGCTGTCCCCTTATAAAAGTATAGTTATATATTACCATGAGTACACATTGAAAACATAAATGACATGAAGCTGATCTCTTCTACATGTTTATCCTCAAAGATCAGCTATATCTTGGCGGGACAATAGAGGACAGCCAGACATTCAGACAGGAGTGTTTTTGGTATTATGTATTTTGGTCCTATAGACGTTTAAATGGGAGCACCTGAAAATCCTGTTTTTGAAGCGTTTTTCAGGCACTCCCATTAAAATTTATGAGGCCAAAATGCACAATTCGTGCCCATAAGAAGCTTGTGTATTTTTTCAAGCTTAATGCCCCTGGTAACAAGCAACACAATCCTCAGGTGTGAACAGGGGCCATTGAAAACAATAGGATTCCTCTTGTTATGCATTGTCAAACTTTGGGAAAGGAGCTGCAAAACGCTTAGGTGTGAATGGGGCCTAAATGTTTTAAAAATAGCAACATTTGCACCAGCTCAGACATCACTACAAACCACTAAAAACAACCATGCAAAACATTACATTTATGTTCTAGATGGCAGCCTTTCTCAACCAGGCTGCCTTCTGCCTTCTTCAGGGATGCCTCTAAATTTTGGTACAGGACCATGCCTTTTCATTGTTCAGGCAGGCTCTTAATATGAAGAGGGAACTTTGATGTGAAAAGGGGGGCTCCTGACTTGCGCATGGGACTCTGAAGTGAAGGGGAGAACCCCATTTTCTTATGTGTTTTTCCATGTGTTCCCTCCTTAAAATCCATACCAGACTCCTATCTGGAATGAGGGTCTGATATGGATTTTGAAGGGTTCACATGTAGATATGTATACATGCAGGGCCGGCCTTAGGGGTGTGCGGTCGCACAGGGCGCCATAGCAACATGGGCGCCTGGCGACCGGCACAGATTCAGTAAAAAAAACACTCTTTAATAATCGCCCGCGGGCGCGGCGCACCTCCGTGCGGGCGCTTGACAGTTTACCTGTTGGCTCAGCCAGGCAGCACAGCAGTGACAGTGTCACTGGCAGTCTATGAATGACTCATTAAGATGGCCGCCGCGACAGCGCGGCGGCCATCTTTAAAACTGGACAAAGTACTGGCACTCTGGCAGGCCAGTCCACAGGCGGAATCAGGAGTCGTAGATCATCTTTACTGCGGCGCCCCTCCGTGCGGGCGCTGGATGGATCAGCTGTGGGCTCAGCCAGGCAGCATAGGCTGCAGTGACAGTGACAGGTAGTCTGTTGGTTACTCATTAAGATGGCCGCCGCTCAGCAACAGCGCGGCTGCCATCTTTAAATCTGCACAATGTACTGGCAGCCTGGCAAGCCACAGGCGGATTCTGCCGGAAAGACACGTGGGAGGCTGTCCTTGCCTTGCTATGAGGAGCGGGGATGAGGAGAGCAGCTGGATGGATCTCGACAGTATTGTCGGGATCTGTCCCGGCTGTGGTGCTCTCTATATATCACGGCAATAGCCCCGATATACTGAGCTTTGGGTCACTGGAGGAGGTTTGAATAAAAGTTGTATTTTTATCATAGCTTGTAATCTGTTTTTTTGGGACTTAACGGAATGGAAGGTTTTAAATGGAGCCGATATTGGAGAAATGGGTGTGGCCACTGAAAGGGTGTGGTTACTGAGGGGCGTGGTCACTATGGGGCGCTGTAAAGCTTTCTCGCACAGGGCGCCTAAAGACCTAAGGCCGGCCCTGTATACATGTGAAGATTTTTACATTTTAGACTGGGATGCTGTGACTGAAACAAGGCTGAGAAACGCTGCTATGTGGTGCTGCACTCTTGCAAAAAGCTAGTTACTCACCCCATATACAACAATCATAACTAGTTATTTTACTTTTGCGTGAGACTCAGCCACATCTTAAAGCTGCCACTATAATGTATAATGCCCAAATGCATTTCACCTCTCAAACCGGAAAACCTTGGCCAGAAGCATCTGAAGATGGCTACTATAAAGCTGATAGCTTCGAAGAGTCTGCAGTAAACTGCACAAGTACTTGATTTCAGTCTCTGTTCTCCATTTAGGCTTTCTTAAAGTGATTAACTCTGCTTTCCTAGGGAAGCGATCCTGTAGGTAGTTAGAAGAGTTAACTAGTTAAGTTTCTGTAAGGAATGAAGAATACTTTGCACCTGTATTAGCAGGTTGTCTTTTTTGTCTTAATTTATTTGAATTTAAAAAATATGCAACTCATAGGGTTTCCAATGGTGCAAATGTTTTGCACAGAGCTGATGGCCCCAGTACTTCTGTTTAGCAGCCCTTAAATAACTGGTTGTCCTCTTGTGAAGGGAACAAGTGAAGTAAAAACCTCTTTAAATTTCTTAGAAAGATGAAGAATCATAATAAAAGTTATCTAATACGCAGTCTTCGCTGTTAACATTAAAAGGAGAACTATGAGGTGAGTGCTTTTCGCTCATCCTCATAGTTCTAGCCGACCTGTGACAATGAGACTGTCACAGGTCGGCTCAGTAGATCGGGAAGTGAGGGAACACATACTGGCGTTCACTCACTTCTCGATCCTGTCACGGCTCTCTGCCGTGACAGGGGGAGGGGCTGGATTCCCCTCTCCGATCTGCCAGCGCTGACTGGCGGAACGGACGGGGGAGGGTACAGCTGGCTCTGCCTCTAGATAGGCAGAGCCAGCTGTCACTCACGGAGCTGGGCGGATCCAGACATAATTGTCGGGATCTGTTTCAGCTGCGGCGCCTCAGTATACCGTGATCTGTAGCTCGCGGTATACTGAACTCAGGGTGACGGGAGGACGCTAGTTTGTGTCCTCCCGTTACCCTAAGGAGAACTATGGGGAAAAGCCCTAACCCCATAGTTCTCCTTTAATTAAAGCTGTATTCACATTATTCCATATGTGTTTTCATGCGCTTTTAACATGTGCTAATGCATTTTGATGCACTTTTTACATGCTGCCATTGTCATCAATAGGACATTTAAAGCTCATTGATGCATAACAAACAGACATGAGCTTCTTTGTTCAATCCACATTGTATAGATGTGAACTAGCTGCATTTAAAGGAGAACTATGGGGTCAGGGCTTTTCCCCATTGTTCTTCAAAGGGTCACGGGAGAACGCAAACTAGCGTTCTCCCATGACCCAAAGCTCAGTATACCGCGAACTACAGCTCGCGGTATACTGTGACGCCGCAGCCGGGACGGATCCCGACAATAGTGTCTGGATCCACCCTGCTGTGGGATTGACAGCTGGCTCTGCCTATCCAGAGGCAGAACCAGCTGTGCCCGCCCCCTCCCCCGTCCATTTCGCCAATCAGCACTGGAGGATCAGACGGGAGGGGGGAATCCCTGCAGGGAGCTGTGAGTGACAGTCACGGCTCTCTGCAGGGATAGATCGAGAAGTGAGCGAGCGACAGTATGTGTTCACTCACTTCCCGATCTACTGAGCCGACATGTGAGAGTTTCATTGTCACAGGTCGGCTGAGTGAAAATCACTTGCATCATAATTCTCCTTTAAGTCAATGGCTTACCTGTGTAAATGCATTATTGGCGTTAAAATGCCTGCAATCAAATGCATAGGTGTAAATGGAAAGACTCAATTTATACCTATGTGTTTTAACAGTATATGAATACAAATATGTACCCGCTCTACCCTGCTAGTCCATCTTTTGCTTGGGGTTACATTGGTTCATGGAAGGATTACTGCTCATCTCCAAATCCAGTACAAAGGTGATTAATCCAGCACTTGATTCCAAATTCCAATACTTTATTATCTATAGTCAGCCGCATACAAGGACACAATCTACTTACGCATTTCAGCTACCAAGGGCCTTAAGGTGCCCATACACCTTACGACCATCGCCAGACTTTTGTCTGGCGATGGTCGTAAGCTTATTAAAAGCTTGTACGATCTGCCCATCTTGGACAGGCAGATCGTACTTGCGATCATCGAAAGCCCGCCCCGCTGAGGTTCCGCAGCTGTCGAACGAGCAGGCTAGAAACCCGCCGACAATCGTACGATTCTCGGCGGGTTTTCGAGCATGCTGGTTCGACAAAAGACGTGCGACCGTACAGTAGAAACGGTTGCACGTCTTCGCACACACTGCTCGATTCTCGTACGATCGCGGGATTTCCCGTGATTCTCGTACGAGAATCGAGCAGTGTATGGGCACCATCATAGCTGCTTTAATACACTGAAATGCATGTTCACAAGTTAGTCATTGTTTTAAATGGTATGGGTTCACATATGTGCAATGCGTTGTCCATTGTTTGATGTGTCGATGACAATGGCAAGGCATAAAAACACATGATTGTTGATAATTCATAGAAAAAGCATGAAGGGAAGGGTGTGAATCCAGCCTAGGTGGTTTTTTTCTGTTTAAACAAGTGATAAATACAATTGATAAATATTTCACCTGTCTGTTCTTGAAAAGATTGAGATCAAACATTTTGCGTTGCTCAGTTTCCTGAAATTAAGATAAGCAAAATTATGTGTCAGAAGAGACTTGTATCTCTGGATAAAACAAACCTATTTTATTGTGCGGTTATTAAGGAAATATATTCTTTATATCAAGCTAAGGGCTTGATCATACCAGACACATTACAGTAGCATCATAGAGGTCGGATGGATGATAGATACCACAGCACCTGGCACAGACATGGGTATCCGACACTTCTGGAAATATTGAATGTTGAAGAGACTGGAGGCGGCTACAGTAGACACATAAGGGTCAGAGGATAGCACTCCAGCGTGTTGTGAAAACACAAGCTTCTGACACTGTTGAAAGTATTGAATGTTGAAGAGACTGGCGGAGGCTACAGTAGCAATATAAGGATTGGAGGATAGCACCACAGCACGTGGCAGAGACCCTGGCATCCGACACTGCTGGAAGTATTGAATGTTGGAGAGATTAGTAGAGGATACAGTAGCGACATAGGGGTGAGAGGAGAGCACCACAACACGTGGCAGAGACACTGGCATCTGACACTTCTGGAAGTATTGAATGCTGAAGACACTAGTGGAGGCTACAGTGGTGGCATAGGGGGTCGGAGGAGAGCACCACAGCATGCCTCAGAGACCCTGGCATCTGACACTTCTGGAAGTATTGAATGCTGAAGACACTAGTGGAGGCTACAGTGGTGGCATAGGGGGTCGGAGGAGAGCACCACAGCATGCCTCAGAGACCCTGGCATCTGACACTTCTGGAAGTATTGAATGCTGAAGACACTAGTGGAGGCTACAGTGGTGGCATAGGGGGTCGGAGGAGAGCACCACAGCATGCCTCAGAGACCCTGGCATCTGACACTTCTGGAAGTATTGAATGCTGAAGACACTAGTGGAGGCTACAGTGGTGGCATAGGGGGTCGGAGGAGAGCACCACAGCATGCCTCAGAGACCCTGGCATCTGACACTTCTGGAAGTATTGAATGCTGAAGACACTAGTGGAGGCTACAGTGGTGACATAGGGGTCAGATGATAGCACCACAGCCATCCAGCACTTCTGGAAGTCTGGAATGTTGAAGAGACTGGCATAAGCAGCAGCTGTAAAAAAGAGGGAAGATAGGAGACCCAGTGCCAGGGAGCAGTAGTTATATTACCTTGTTTTATTCCCTTTTTATCAAAACCTGACAGGGCCACTTTAACTACATATTGTCATATAAGTCATCTAAATGAAATCCTTAATGCGATCCAATGCACTATTACTTGCAGCATTGATATTTAGGGCCCTTTCAGACTAATACATTGCAGTGACAAGTTTTAAACCGTGTGTCAATGCTCAGATATGTATGCTGTGGTGCACTGCAGTGCCATCCTATGTGAATGGCACCCCAAAGCACTGCACAGTAGATGTCAATGCATGGCAGTTCACCAACATGTACATACCATGCGTCGTGGTGTGGGGCGGGGGTCAGCAAAAAAAAGGTGCATTTCTGTTAATTTGTCTGGTGAAGAACATAGGCAGTCCATTCAAAATGAGTGCAACTCCTTAATGCCACTCCTGTTAACACACAGATGGCAATGGACTGTAGAAGTGTGAATGGACCCTTAAGCTAATTAAGGGCTAATTACAAAATAAAGCAAACCTGTAAAGACTTACTTCTTCCACAGACACTGCATCCTGGCTACTTCTTGCAGTCATTACGATCTGAAATTCTGTGAGTCCTTTAAGCTGGTGGCGGAAAACCTTACACACCTTGCATTTCATCTTGATATCTTGTGCAAGCCGTTTAAACATCTTCAACAATAAAATGATTTAAAAAGTAAATACAATAATATAGATGAGCTTTGTAGCTATCCTCCTATTTTTTATATGAGGAATTGACAATAGGCAGTTAAACACAGTATAACATGTATGTCTTAAACCACTCTTTTTTTTTTAACCAAATGGCTAGTTTAAAGCTGAACTCCAGGCAGCTATATAAGACACATTAATGCAGCTCTGTGTTTATGAATACATCATTAAATGCATTGTTTTCAATGCAAGCAGTTTAAATACCTAAATCTACCTGACCTGCTATCAGCCTCTTCCAATCCCCTGTACAATGGAGGTTAGACTAGACTATATAAACAGAAGCAGCACAAGCAGCCATCAAATTGTGCTGTTGTGCCCATGTGCTAACAAGGGACATGCTGATAGGTGAAGAAAGCAGAATGACAGATAAAAGCGCTCATCAGTCTGCTGCTTCTCCTTTTATTTTCCAATCACAGGGTGGGGGGGGGAAGACCTGTTGGTATTACTCTACAGAAGCAGAAAAAAAAATCAGGTCTCCTATCCTTCCAGACAGGGCTGGGATAAACCTGAGCACTGGATGCAAGGAAATACAATCCCCTTGACAGATAAAACAGCGCCTTTTAGATGGATTTCCTGTTTTTAGCTGTGTGCCTGGAGTTTAGCCTTAAAGGAGAATTTTGAGGTGAGTGCTTTTCATTCAGCCTCATAATCTGAGCCGACCTGTGACAATGAGACTGTCGCAGGTCGGCTCAGTAGATCGGGAAGTGAGCGAACACATACCGCCGCTCGCACACTTCTCGATCCTGTCACTGCAGAGAGCCGTGACAGGGGAGTGACTGTATTCTCCCCTGGGCGGATCCAGACAATTGTTGGGATCCGTTTCAGCGGCAGCGTCTCAGTATACCGCCAGCTGCAGCTCGCGATGTACTGAGCTTTGGGTAATGGGAGGACGCTAGTTTGTGTCCTCCCGTTACCCTAAGGAGAACTATGGGGAAAAGCCCTGACCCCATAGTTCTCTAAGGATTATTTTCCCTGTTGCAGGACATAGTAAATAATATTTTTTGTCAGCTGCATTTTTCCTTTTCGGCTCACCATTGTCACTATACCCTCATCCCAGGCTCAGCAACACTCTGTACCTAGAAATGTATGCTTCCCATCTCTAGCACAGCAGTTCCCCTGCAAACACAATGCACTCCCCATCCCCAGGTCATCACCGCAATGTCCTTGTAAATATCCCTGTGCTCCCATAAGGGCTCAGGAGCACATTGTACATTTAAATAACACCTCCCTATACTAGATTCTGCAATGTATTGTCCCCAGAAATGTCACTCCCTAACATACTACTGCTCCCCATTTCACTCCCCCTGCATCTGAACTAGCACTCCAGTATCCCTGGAAATTACACTGACACTACAGGGACTCAGGAAAAATATATTGTCCCCCATCTCCTGCTCAGTAGCGTAATGTCCCAGGAAATATTACTATCCCATCCCTGGCTAAAGAGTGCAATATCTGGAAATATTACTGTTTCTGTGCTGCTGAAGAGATGATAAAGAGAAGAGAAGCCATAAGGCAGCGTAGAATAATGATGTGAAGTTCAGTAACCCATAGCAACCAACAGTTACTTAACTGACTCCAGTAAGCTGAAACCTGATTGGCTGCTGTGGGTTACCACCCTCCACACATCCATGTTGCCATTTGCACTTCTTACCGAGTAAGCCTGACAGTACACCTGCAGGAGATACTGAAGCTCTTTCCTCAAGGGCAAAGGATGACACCAAGGGGGTGATTTACTAACCTAAACACACGCACGCACTAGGTGCGTGTGATTTTTACACAGCAAAACGTATTTATCAACCAAAAAGTCTCTAAAAGCATATTTCCACTAATGCCATATATGGAAAAATCATGCACATGATGCATATATAATGCTGCTTCACAGTTTAGACAAAAATGGTTCGCTCATGCATTTACATTCCTGCATTCATCAACGCAAGCAACACAACATAGAGCTAATTTACACAAGATCACCTTGCAAATTCATGCAGGGCTTTGCACAACACACCTGTTGGGTGTGTACACACTACAAAGGTGTTTAGATTCCACCCATAGATCATGCTGGGAGGGAACACACTACAGAGGTGTATACATGTTCGTGGTGTGTTTTTATAAGGTTAGTAAATCAACCCCCAAATCTTGGGGAGGGAGTGAGAGGGAGATTATTTACCAATAAGTCCATACCCGAACGTTAGCAATATCTGCAAAGTAACAAAACTGTCAATGATGGTGCAGAATCTGATTGTGCCTCTATTACTGTTAGATATGTATGACAAATGCTAAATAAATTTGTATGAAAATCTAACATTTGTGTGGCCTCGTACAATCACAGAAAGACTGACTTAAGCTGGCCATACACCTTACAACCATCGCACGACTTTTGTTGTGCGATGGTTGTAAGGTAATTACAATTTCGTACGATCTGCCTATCTTGGACAGGCAGATCGTACTTGTGATCATCGCAAGCCCGCCCCGCTGAGGGGAGTGTTTCCGATGATTGCAGTGCTGAGCGGGCAGTGTGCGCTTGCGCACACCGGCCCGTGCAGCATTCGTCTTCCGAGCACGCCACTAACCCGCCAAAATCGCAAGATTTTTGGCAGATTTTCAAGCGTGCTCGGAAGTCGTGCGACCGTACAGTAGAAGAGGTCGCACACTGCCCATACACCTGCCGATTATCGTACGATCGCGGGATCACCTGCAATTATCGTGTGATAATCGGCAGGTAGGGCACCTTTAGAGTGTACAAAACAGCGAATGTATAACTTGGAGAGCTTTAATTAGCTTGCAAGCAGATTTTATTGCTGGCCACAAATGTAACAATCCTATTTTTAGTTCATTTTCTTACTTTTTTGTAGGATATTTTCTCTTTTTGCATCATTCAACCTTAAGCTGAACTTGGCTGAAATTCAACCAGCGTGTGGCCCAATTGGCACCACTTCATTCGTTTTTTTTCTAGTAAATTGTTTCAAAGGAGCTATCCAAAATGTGTGAGTTGAACAGTGACTGCAATCAATCAGCTGCAGTCATTGTTCAGGTATTCTGACAGGGGCACTACATTTGCTCTCAGAATACAATAG